TCCATGCGCGGACACACGCACGGAAACGTACACACAAGCCCTGCAGCGACCCCGCTCGTGACTGGGCCACACAAGGGGGGCCCGGTACTCCGCACTTGCCACTTCGTGCGCGGTGCGCACGCACGCGCGCCCCAAGATCCCCCCCCCCCCCTCGGCCCCTCTCCGGCATGCGAACGAGGCGCGCTCCTTGACGCCGGTCGTGGTGACGATGAGCCATCCCGGCACACGGCGTATCCCCCACCCCCGGTCCTCATGCCTCATGGCTGATCAAGAGAACGAAGGAACAGGAAGCCGCTCCGGGGCACGGGTGTGCGGACCCTTTACGGCGCGGCGGCGGGTGTTGTGAAGTGCGCGTGCGTTCACGCATGTGCCGACACACACACACACAATCACACGCGCGCGCGCGCGCGCACATGCCTCAGCGAGTAGGGGCTTACGCACGCACACCTCTTCATGCGAGCCAAAGTGGCCGATGCTCAGGCACCCAGCGCCAGCGGTGACAGGGCAAACAGAGCCGGGGCAAGCTCACGCCGGCACACCAGCACCCCCATGCGCCCCAGAGGCACACGCGCGCCTGCACGCGCACGACCCCACATGCACGCGCGCCTCCCTGGCCATGGGCCCCCCCCTCATGGTGGTGCTCTTCCGTCGGTGGCAAGGCACCCCCTCCGGGCGCTGGCGAACATGCAAGGCGCGATGGTGACGTTGATCGGAGGAGCAGGGTGGCCCGGAGCCAGGACCAGCAGGGGGACACGCCGGCCGGGGGCCGAAAGAAGCGGCAGGAGACACACGCCCCGATCACTTGGAAAAGCCTCCGCCAAAGGGGCCTCGTACTTTGAGCGGGGGGCGGGCGGAAGGCAAGGCTGGGGGCCCAGACAGCCGGCCGGGGGCAAGATGATCGAGGCCACCTGCATGCCGGGCGGGGGGGACGATGGGCCGGCCACCCCCCTCGCCTGGCCTGATCCCTCAACGCCCGCGGTCCCCTCCGGGGCGGGGGGAGGCAGCTGCGACCGGGGTTCGGCGGGGGCACCTTCGATCCGGGGCTCGGGCCAGCCCCGGAAGGCGGCGTGGGCTTGGTCACAAAGGCGCCCGTGGGCCGGCGAACCCGACAGCCCGGGCCGCAGAGACACGACCAAGGGCAGGGCGGTTCGGCCGGGACGGCCCAACGCGGGCGGGGGCCACACTGTAGCCCGGAGCAACATCGTCGCCGGGGCCCCACATCCGGGGCCAAGATTCCGTTCATGTCAGACGCTATGTCGCGGTTACAGGGTGGCTGTGGACCTCCCCAATAATGGCCAAATTGCACCGGCATCACCGAACCAAGGGGCTGGCCTGGGCCGGGGCAATCGCACTCGCCACAAAGCCCTCGCAGCGCGGGTAGCCCGGGCGTCGGTCGGCTACGCTGCCTCCCAGGCCCCCCCTTTCCCGACGGCCGGTGTGGCCGGCCCCCCCCCCGGCCCGGGGCCGAGCTCGGGGGGGTTTGGGGGCGTCCGGCGGGAAGAGGCTTCACACACGCCCCACACACGGCCGTTTCACCCGGCCAGGGCTGGGGCCGGGGGCTGCCCAGCCCGTTGGATCGCCCGAGCAGGCGCCCGCGCCGGCGCCCGAGTCCCAGCCAGCCCGGCCCTCCCTGGGAACCCGGGGTCTGCGGTGTGGAACACCGGGCGCGTCGGTCGGCCGGCGAGGGGAACAATAACAAGCGAATGAAGGCAGTCGGAACGTGTCGTTTCGGGGCGCGCAATAAGCGGCGGGGTGTGCGGCCAGAGGTTCGGGCCGGGGGGTGGCGGCGGCGGACACGTGCGGGACACGGACTGGCCGCCGCCAGCCGGCCGCGAGACCCGCCCGGCGGAGGGCACGGCACCCCGGCCGGCCGCCGCCGGCCCTCCCCAGAGAGGGCGATGGCGAGATGCCCCGCCCAAATGGTGCTCTTGCCTCACGATGGCAATAAGGCCCTCGGGCAGGGGCGCGCAGACCGCGCCGACGTCTCCTGCCCGTCTGCCGACCCGGCGGCCCGCGCTGCCCGGTCCCCATCCTCGCGAGCGCATGCCTCTACCCCGGCCCCCGGGCCGCGCGGGGGAACGGGCAGAAAGCCCATGCGCTTGTCAGGCGCGCGCGCGCGCGCGCGCGCACTCGCAAAAAAAGCCGCTCAAAAACAAACACCAGCCCGGAAAGGCGGCCCGGAGAAGTGGCGAGAGCCGGCGCGCGGCGGGGAAGATGAAATGGCTAGTAATAAGAGTGGTACATCACACCACACAAGACCCGCCGTCGTCGGCACCGGGAGGGGGCCCCATGCCCCATGTCTCTGCGAGGGCCGATTCGTGGAAATACTACGGCCGGAGATGACCGGCGCCCTGGAGGACCAGCCAGTCCGTCGGGCCATCGTCTGCTCCAGGGCGACGTCTCGGCCAGCGCATCGCGCCGGCGACCGTGCCGAAAACTCCGCCGTTCAAGGCGGGCGCGCACGCGCCCCACGCGATCTGCCCCCCCCCCCCCCCTTGCCCGCCCGGCTTCGACACGCGGCTCCGCTCAGGCGTAGGGCGCCGCGCCTTGGGCGGCCCTCTGCCCGGCTGCGCCGGTCCTCGCGGCCAGGCCCGGGACCCGCGGCGGCCAGTTGGCCCGGCCGATAGGTGGATTGGCTGGACGCGTGGAGACAGGCCACGGCAAGCGAGGGGGCGGCGGCCGGCGGCCGGCGGCCGGCGGCCACGGCCGCGGAGGCCCGGCAGAGCGGGACCACTGCCAGGACACGCATCCCCGGCCCGGGGCCGGAAGAGGGGGCAGGGGCTTTTTGCCGGCAGGCGGGGAGGGGGCCACGCCGGCGAGGGGATATTGTCGGCTGGCCAGCCCCGGTTCCAGCCGGGTCGGCGGCCTGTGAGACCGCCGGCGGATGAGTCATCCGCCGCGGGCTGGGACTCGGCGGTTCCCTCGAGGGGGGCGGCAGGGGGGGGGGGGGGCCGGCGGAGCGGCTGGCCCTTCGGCGAGACCGCGCGACTACGGCTCTCAGGGCGCGCGCCTAGGCCGCGGCCCCGGGCCGGGGCACGAGGCCGCCCTCCGGCGCTTGGCAGCCGTTGAGGGGCTGGCTTGCCGCTTGGTCAAGGACGTGTGCTGGGGCTTGTCCCCCCCGGCCGCCCCCGCCCCCCCTCCTCGCTGCGGGGTCTGACGCGGGCCGCGCCGGGGTCTCGGCCGCAGGGGGCCAGTGTGCCCCACACAGGGCGGTGGGAAATTTCTCACCCGGGCCACCGCCGGGCGGCCGACATTCCCCGGCTCGCGTGGCGGACTTCCACCACGGCAGCGTGGTGTTGGCGCGCGGGGGCGAGGGAAGAGGGAGAATTCCACCCGGGGGGGTGAAAACCGGCGGCAGGACGAGCGGGCCCGGGCCAAAGGGACAGGCGAGGCTTCCGGGCGGGGACCACGGATGAGGCGCCAGTGGCTGGGCTAGGCGCGCGTCGCTGGCGCGTGGCCGAGGCGGAGCCACCTCAGCTGGGCACCAGAGGCATCATCAACGATGCTCAGCCCCGTTGTGGCCCCCGTCCCCCCCCTCCCCCCGGGGGGAGGGGCGGGGGCGGGGGGGGCACCATCGCACCCAGGACAAGCGCGAGAAGCTCGCGAGAAAAGGGCCCGAGCCTCCGCGGGCTACGGGCTCATGTGAAATCCAAGAGCCGGCACTCCTTTCACGGACCCCGCCACCCACACGCCCCTTCCAGTGATGGGACCCATTTAATATTCTCCCCAATCCGCTGCCTTTGGCCTTTTGTCCAAAGTGCCCGAGATCCGGGGGAAAACGCCGGGCGCCGTGCGGCCTGGAGCGAAGGGGCATTTTCACCTGCATAACCACGCGAACGGACCAAATGCACGAAAATAGCCGGCCCAGCATGTCCGGCCTCCTGTGCCCGCACCTGCCTGGCAGGGGCGCAGGGGGGGGGGGGGGGGGGGCAGCAACGCCGGTGGGCACCGAGCTCCCTCGAGGCGCCGGTGGCCTCTCATCGTCTCTCTCTCTCTCCCTCTGTCGCGCCCCGGTGGGCCTACCGGGGCGCGACAGGGACATCCACCCGAGGGCGGGTCTTATGCCTGACGCATGGCCGGACCTGCTGGCCTGCCGAACCGTAGTCCCTTGCACACGAGGACCCACATCCCCCGCTCCTCTCCCATGACTTCTCGCCGGACGGGGCGAGGAGCGTGCCGTGCGGCCCGACACCGCGAGGGCAGCACCGGTTGCAAGGAGCTCCGGCGGCGAAGTCGTCAGGGACACCCCCTCAGGGTCCTTCTCCCAGCCCATCCCCCGCCGGGCCTTGCGCAGCGGACGCCGCTGATCGCCCTGCCGTCTCTCCGCCCTCGACCCCGCCCCAGCCCCCGGCCTCCTAAGCACAGAGGACCCCAGACTGGGGAGACGCCTCGGGCGCGAAAAAGGGGCGCCCCCTGGGGAGGCGTGGTCGTTCGCCCTTTGTATGGGGGAGGGGGGGGGGGGGGGGGGGGCGGTGCTCCTGCCCCCGCTGCGGTCCTCTCCTCCTCAGCAGACCTCGGCCGTCGAGGTCGTCGAGGCCGTCGTTGTCCGTCGGCCAGGGGGACCGGAGGCCGGGGGCGACTCATTGCGTGAACACTGACCCGGGGCAGGAGCCCCGTCCGGCCCCTGGGGGAGAGAGCCTCCCCGCCGCGACCGATGGGCCCATGGGCCCGGGACCGCTCGGCTCCTCTGACGGGGACCCCTGCCTGGTTGGGGTCCTACTTGGCCGACGCTCCCCGGACTCCGGGCCACATTGGTCCAGATTCTGGTCACCCAGCCCGAGGCATAACACACTCGCACATAAGCGCCGATCCTCGTGCACTCACACACACGCACACACGCACAGGGCCACACAGGGCCACATGCTCCTTGACCAGGGGGCATTGGTCCCGGCGCGGGGATACCCCGTTCACACCCCCCCCCCCCCCCGCCCCCCCTTCCCCCTCGCGCCCTTGTGGCCACACCCATGGGAGAAAGACCACCGCCCTGTAGCCGCACTTAAGCCCAGCCCTCCCGGGCGGTTCTCGCCCCGCGCCCCCTCCCCCGATGCCCGCCCTGCCGCGCCCCCTCCCCGAGGCGGGTATGGTGTGTGGTGGGGAGACCTTAGCCGTGGGACCGGGCTTTGCTGGCTTTTCCTGTCCCAGTCAGCGCCTTCTGGCTGCCATAACTTCCCTCCGCCGGTCTCCGGTCTCCTCCAACGGCCTTTCTCAACTGTCAACGGTCACTTGGCCGTGGAGCCCGGCGCGCATGTACGCGTGCCTGGCGCGCTCCCTCCTGCGTCGCCGAGCGAGCAGGCCCCGGGAAGCGGGAACCATTCGCCGCCGAGCTCCCACCCGCTCAAATCACTCGCCAGGACGACCACCTATGGAGCGCACCATGTCTCAGATCACACCGACTTGGGTGGTCACCCGACCCGCCCACGTGTCACCATCCAGGGCGATCTGGATGCTTTAAATCCATGCCCCGACTCGCCCTCTCTGTCTCGGAGGTTGAAATTCATTCTCCCCTCGTCCCCCGTTGCTGTTCTGTCATTCCGGTCTTCCCCGTCTGTGTGCAATCTCTCCTGGGCCGCCTCCACTCACTCATGCTCAAGCAATCGTTCCAGGTACCCCAGCCTGCGTGTGCACCCTCTCCCTTTACTTACCTCGCCTTCCCCACTCCAGTCTGACTTCTGCCTTCCTGCGCCTCCTGCGCCCTCTGCCCCCCCCCCCC